GAAAAAATACTAACGCCCTTGCTGAACAGAAACCAGAAGCTCCCGAATGCAAAGAGGATTCACTTCTCCCAATCGCTGAGAAGGGACTTTTCTTCCACGATTCCTTCTTCGAGGATATTCGGAAGCACTTTGAGACAGCCATCGACCAAATGCTGGACACTTGGGGAGAAGCCAAATCCGTGAGTGATCTGATGAGTAGCTACAGACGTGTAAGAGACCGCAATTTGCAGCAGGAGAACCAAGTCATGGCCTTCAGCGAAGACGACCACAATCATAAGGTTAGTTCTACAATCTAAAATTTACGTGGATCGCAAACACACTGATTTAAACATTTTTTACATAAATAGAAGTTTGTTAAAAAAAATATTCAAATTGAAAATTAGCTTTAATAAAACGATATAGGTCAAGCAAAAGAGTATTTGAATATTCAGTAATAAAAAATAAAAACTAAATAAACACTACTCGATTCTATAAACAGGTTGTACTAGATGTTCATGACTTCAAGAGTGGAGACGTTAAGGTCAGAGTGGAAGATAATCAGGTGGTGGTGGAAGGTCGAGTGGAAAAGGAAGAGGGCGACTTCAAGTCCATGAAAAGCTTCTGTCGACGTTTCAACTTCCCAGGCAAAGTGGACATGGAGGCCGTGACTTCCGCAATGTCTTCCGATGGCGTGTTGACTGTCACGGCTCCGAAGATTCCACAGGCAGCATAGGAAAACATATTTCATTAACTGGAACTGTAATCTAATCTTAAAGACAATATATGTTTAAGGAACTATTTATTGTTATTTTTGATAATGTTAAAATGATAAATTTTGTTTTTTTTTGTAAATAAATTGTATTTGTTTACATGTCTGACTTTACTTGCCTTTCCTTTCCGCGACACAGATGGTTACCTAGGAAGTACTTGACATGTGAATTCATACATATGGTATGTTATAATCATCTATCTCTCTATATATATGTATGTGTATGTATGTTTCTGCGCGCGCGTTTGTACATATACATATATGTATGCTTATATTGTCCTTACACCCATACACACAAAGTAGGTTTTTGTATGTAGAGGCGCATTTTTGACCGCAAGATAATTCAAGATTTCTTAAAGTCTTGAAACTTCCTTCTTGGTCAGATATCTTGGTCTGGTTTCGTAAACAAACCAAACTTTTCTAACTTCCTCTATACTTCAGGACGTCATAATGATAAAGAAACCGCCAACATGGCCGACAGAATGAATGACAACGATGGATTCTCGTGATAATTTACTTATTTTGTCGCCAATAGATATCATATACTAGCAAGTTGTTTTATCTGTGCCTACCAGAAGTTTTAAATGGAGTATATCGATAGCTTTATTATTTTCAAGAAGAAAATTACAAGCCAGTTATAAATGCATTACACCTATCCTGGAATGTTCGAAGTGCGCTTTTATTTACCCATGTTATATCCATTCTAAACTCGCAGTTTGGAAGACCCATCTTTGTTATGAGTAGTAGATGATAACCTTTTAGTCTTGCTTTAAAGTGTGTGGACGATTTTTTCTTTTTTTTCATAACTTTTGTGCGACACAATATGCAGATATTTTTAAATTCTAATTTCGTTTATCTTCTTCAAGTAATGCAAAACCACGACATGAAAAGATTTCTTTGTCGGTAATTTTACAAGCATTAG